TCACCCCTGTTTGCCAGGGATGTGTTCTAAGGAAACTACGGGAAGGTAACGCCCATCAGAAGGGCACCAGTTCAACAAATGATGGTACATCTGTTCAGGGGCAGGTGTAGATCTATGGAGAAGGTGATGCAGAAAGAGATCACATGCATTTTATTCCCAGGGACGTGTTCCCGATCATACTGCTGTATTTTTATTTAATGTTTATTTATTTTAAGAGAGAGGGACAAAGTATGAGCAGGGGAGGGGCAGAGAGAGGGGGAGACACGGAATCCGAAGCAGGCTCCAGGCTCCGAGCTGTCAGCACAGAGCCCGACGCGGGGCTCGAACCCACGAACTGTGAGATCACGACCCGAGCTGAAGTTGGATGCCCAACAGACTGAGCCACCCAGGTGCCCCACTGCAACTTGACTTTTTAACCTTAGGGTTTCTCGCACCCTGCACTAGTAACTCCTGCAATGATATTTTCTTTTAAAGAGACATTGTCTTAAAATGAAAAACGTCCCAGTTGAGGCGCGTTCTACAAAACACCTGAGCAGTACTTCTCGGTACCGGCAGGGTCATCAACAGGGAAAATACGAGACCCCGTCACAGCCAGCAGGAGCCTCAGGAGACCGAGCGTGATGCGGTGTCCTGGGTGGGACCCTGGAACTGAGTAAGGACACTAGGGAGGGACCAAGGAAACAGGACCCAAGGGTGAACGTCAGTTAATAATTATGTAGCAGGAGTGGCCCGTAACTGGGACACGGTGTGCCAGTGCTGATGTCAGATGTTAGCCAAAGGGAGACAGAGGGCGGGGTAGAGGGGAGCCCTCTGACTGTCTCTGCGCCTTCTCCGTAGATCCAGATCTCGTCTGCGATGGAAAAGTTTATGTCGACAGAATGGAAAATAAGGTTTCTGTGATCTGTCTGTGGCAAAGGTAAATCCATCGGCCAGGCAGCGAATGCAGGGGGCTCAGGGGCCACACGGGGCCAGGAAATTCCAGCAGAGTGCAGGCCTTCATAATCTGAGGATGGTGTGTGTGTGTTTACAGGGAGGGGGGGAGGAGGGCTGGCGCCGGGATTTCCTATTGGCGCCGTAAGGAACGCACAGCTCCACGGGCGCGAGTCCCACCCCCACCAACCAGGCTGAAATCAAGGTGGAGGCATAGCGATGTTCCTTCTGTGGGTTCTCGGGAAATTCTCGTTCTTGGCTTTTCCAGCTTCTACAGCCCCCCCCCCCCAAGTTCCTCCGCTCGTGGCCCCTTCCAGCGTCTGCAAAGCCAGGGGTGTCGCGTCTTCCCGTCCCCGTGGCTCTGACCCTTCTGACTCCCTCTTAGAAGGACCTTTGTGATGATGCTGTGGCCACCCTCGTGACCCAGCATGAGCTCCCGTCTTGATCTCCGTCAAGATCCTTTATCCCATCCGCAAAGTGTCTCGTGCCCTGCAAGGGGACACACTCACAGGTCTCCAGGGATGAAATCATGGGCGCCTTCTGGGGAGCCGGCCCGCTGCCCACCTCTGCTGGCAAACCAAGCCTTTCCTCCATGCTGTAATTTCATACATTGATCGGCGTGGTGCTGGGCAAGTTTCTTCCCAGGCTGGACCTCAGCTTCCTCTTCTGTAAAAGGCAGGTGCCTTCGCTTCGTCTTCCAGCTCTGGGATTTCTCCTGTAAAGATGTTGGTTCGGAGCAGCGTTTGAAGCCTGTGTTCCAAGCCACCCCACATCCCCTGAGGTCGGGAAGGCGGGCCAAGGACACTGTCTTACCCACACGGGTTTGTGGGTGACGACCCTGAGTCGCTCACCTGACGGACCGGACAGCTGTTACTTTGGTGCTTTTCGTTTCTGCAGTTGCTGTTCTGTACACGAGCCCTTTCTTTTTTTAATTTTTAAAATGTTTTTATTTATTTATTTATTTAGGTCAATAGCTTTTATTTATTTATTTTTATTTTGTACTTTTTTTTTTTTTTATTTTCCAAAATTGACATCCAAATTAGTTAGCCTCTAGTGCGACAATGATTTCAGGAGTAGATTCCTTAGTGCTCCTTCCCCATTTAGTCCATCCCCCTCTCCCACAACCCCTCCATTAACCCTCAGTTTGTTCTCCATGTTGATGAGTCTCTTCTGTTTTGTCCCCCTCCCCCGTTTTTATATTATTTTTGTTTCCCTTCCCTTACGTTCATCTGTTTTGTCTCTGAAAGTCCTCATATGAGTGAAGTCATGTGATATTTGTCTTTCTCCGACTCACTAATTCCATTTAGCATAATACCCTCCAGTTCCATCCACGTAGTTGCAAATGGCAAGATTTCATTCTTTTTGATGGCCGAGTAATACTCCATTGGATATATATACCACATCTTCTTTATCCATTCATCCATCGATGGCCATTTGGGCTCTTTCCATACTTTTGCTACTGTTGATCGTGCTGCTATAAACATGGGGGTGCATGTGTCCCTTCGAAACAGCACACCTGTATCCCTTGGATAAATGCCTAGTAGTGCAATTGCTGGGTCATAGGGTGGTTCTATTTTTAGTTTTTTGGTTTTTTTTGGAACCTCCATACTGTTTTCTGGAGTGGCTGCACCAGCTTGCATTCCCAATGTTTTTTATTTATTTTTGAGAGAGAGTGAGAGAGAGAGCGCACAAGTGGGGGGAGGGGGCAGAGAGAGGGAGACACCGAATCCGAAGCGGGCTCCAGGCTCCGAGCTGTCAGCACAGAGCCCAACGTGGGGCTCAAACTCCTGAACCGCGAGATCATGACCTGAGCCGAAGTCGGACGCTTAACCGACGAAGCCACCCAGGCGCCCCTGTACATGAGCTCTTTCAAACAGAAATTTGGTTACTGTGATGAAAACAAAAGATGAAGTAGTTTGAAAATTTTTCCGGCAATGCCTCCTGGCGCTTCCTTCTAGGGCACGGATTAGAACGGGCCTTTGGCTTAGAACCTCTAGAGGTCTGGGTCTAAAACCCAGCTCCAGGCCAGGAGAACTTGGGCTAGTCCCAGAACTTCTCTGAGGCTCAGTTTCCTGCTCTGTCACAAGGGAACAATAATTGTACCTACTTCGTAGGGTATTTGGGGAAAGAATCAGCTAAAGGATGCAGGAAAATTGCCTGGCAGTAGAGGCACAGTGAAATCACAGAGTTGCTCCTGGATGTGTGTTCACTGCTCACACACTTCCTGGAAGACGAGTCTCTCCTCCTGCCCAGCTTCAATAGTTGCAACTGACAAACCAAATATTTGCCTTAACATCTAGCACATCTTTCCCTGCAAAGAAACACCATAGCTTCTCAGCTGGACCCTCACGTTCAGAGCTGCGGTTTAAAAACAGGACAAAAACAAACAAAACAAACCCAAGACAAGGCAAAACAAAGCAACATCCCCGACCAAGGAAGATCTGTGAGATGCCGTTTGTCCTGAGGGACGTGGCTAATGCCACCCAACGAGGAACCCACACATTTAAGCAGCAACATCCACTAGGAGGGTGTTGTGCTGTTTAAATTGCTGAAGGAGGCATTTATTTAGACAGAAGCAGAAAGAAATTTCTCTCTCTCTCTTTTTATGTATGCATCTGGTGTTTTACATTTCCCTTTCAGCACTATTTTTCGAGCGGCCACAGATTCTGATGTGCTGTGTTTTCATCTTGATTCAGTTCAAGAATTTTTTTTTTTAAAGCGAACTCTACACCCAACTGCCCAACGTGGGGCTCGAACTCACGAGCCTGGGATCGAGAGCTGTATGCTCTATAGGCTGAGCCAGCCAGATGCTCCAGAAGGAGAAAGAAAGCAAAGATGGGGAAACAACACTGTTCCTCTCTGCCTTTATGATTTCCCTGCAGTGTGGGCTCAGCTCATAATGAGAACCCCGAGGAGAGAGGCTGAAGGGCCACCGGGATGGCTTTGTGGGGACAGTTGGACAGAACGATGAAGAAGGGGCCAGACTTGCCTGCTTCCACATTCCATTAGGCCACTTCCTGGCTGTGTGACCTTGGGCAAGTGGCTAAGCCTCTCTGTGCTTTCATTTCTTTATAGGGGGTAGGAGTTATCTTCACCTTATAGGGATGCTCTGATGATGAAGAAGGTGAATGTATGGAATGTGCTTAGCCTCACGCCTGGTACGTAAACAGTGCTTTAAAAATGTTAGCTGTTTGGGGCACCTGGGGGGCTCAGTTGGTTAAGCGCCCGAGTTCGGCTCAGCTCATGATCTCGAGGTTTGTGAGTTCGAGCCCCGTGCCGGGCTCTGTGCTGACAGCTCGGAGCCTGGAGCCTGGAGCCTGCTTCAGACTCTGTGTCTCCCTTTCTCTCTGCCCCTCCCCCACTCACGCTCTCTCTGTCTCCGTCTGTGTCTCTCTCTTTCTCTCTCAAAAATAAATAAACATTAAAAATGTTAGCTATTGCCTGATATTTTTCCTTTTACGTGCATGCACTGGCTTTTTTCATCGAAGACAGATGCTTAGGCAAGAGGAAGGAGTTAAAAGTCATGAGCAGGGGGGCGCCTGGGTGGCGCAGTCGGTTAAGCGTCTGACTTCAGCCAGGTCACGATCTCGCGGTCCGTGAGTTCGAGCCCCGCATCCGGCTCTGGGCTGATGGCTCAGAGCCTGGAGCCTGTTTCCGATTCTGTGTCTCCCTCTCTCTCTTCCCCTCCCCTGTTCATGCTCTGTCTCTCTCTGTCCCCCAAAAAATAAATAAACGTTAAAATTAAAAAAAAAAAAAAAAAGTCATGAGCAGGTAATTCACTAACGGAAAAATGCCAGGAGTCAAAACACTACATAAAAAGATGTCTGGCCCCACCGGATGTCTGTGAAATGGTCATCAAACACCCCAAAGATGTCGGCTTTCACCCCTCAGAGTGGCAAAGTTTTAAAATACCGGTCCCGTTTTGTGCCAAGGAGGGCACAAGGGAGTGAGCATCCTCTTACATCGCGGGGGCCACCACTGGGCAAAGCGAAAGCGCGACGAGGACTCTGCTAGAACGTGTGTTTATACTCACTGTGGGGAGCTTACAGAGAAACGCAAGTGTCCGGAAGGGTGGCCTGACGGGGAAGTTCCCTGCAGCATCGTCAGCGCAGAGCCCGGAAACGGCCGGGACGTCGTGTGATCTTGGCGCGTAAAGGCATTGTTGGAACTGCAGGCGTGGATGCTCGCAGGTGCTACCGACTGACCCCTTTCTCTGTACCAAACGCTGCAGAGAAGGCTCTCTCTGCACGTGTGACTTGCATTTGCCACAACTCACGACGCGGATTTGGTTATTGCCCTAATTTTGCAGGTGAGAAAATGAAGGTGCTTGGGGGTAAGCGGGTCACCCAGTGTCTGGAGTTCGTGGGTGGCGAGTTGGACTTGGATCCACCATCCTGTGCCGGAACCTGAGCTCCGAAGCTCTGGACTGTGACCTCTTGGCCCTGAAAAAGAAAGAAAGTTGCAAGAAAACGGGCTTTTATAATCCAGTGTTAAGTGACAAACACAAAACTAAGCGGACTGCCCTGTCTACTCCCTAAACTTTTTCCCTCCATTTTTGTTCTGATCATTCATTGCACATGTGCACACGCGCGCACACACACGCACACGCGCACATGTACACACACCCACATGCACACCACACACGCACACAAGCACGCGCACACAACGGACGCACGCGCGCACGTGCACATGTACACGCATGCGCACGTGTGCACACGCACACATGCGCACGCACCCGCACGCATGCATATGCCGCATACACGCACACACATGCACGCGCACACACGCGTGCATGCACACATGCACGCGCACACATACACACGTGCAGGCATACATGCGTGGGCATGCATGCAATGAATGAGTGAGCGCGTCACCTTCACCTTAACCCTTGATAGCATTCAGCCACTAACCGGGTCATTGGGTTGGGGCAGGGAGCTCCGTGTTCTGGTGCTGGTGACCGACGAGGTGGACAAAGTGGGTTGGAAAACCCGCATCGGGAAGGACGACAGGCCGGCAACAGCCCCACCGCCTCTCTTGCCGTATCGACCGCGCACCTGCAATTAACCACACCGAGACTTAACAAATCTGCAAGCCACATTTCTTTCGGCGGCAGCGTGGAAGGCTTTTGCCAGCTCCTAGCTGCGTAAATGAGAACAATGCGCTGTTTTTAAAAAGGACGTTTTAAAACCTGCGGACACTTGAATGAACATCCAGCTTGGAGCCCCACAGAAGACAGAGACGCTGGCTGCGTGCCCCGTTAACACCCCTCGCTCCTCTGCTGTGGTGGGAGCCACCACTGGCCTCTCCAAGGCGTTCTAGAAAGAACAGTGGTTTTTGTTTTTTTTTTTGGCGGGGGGGGGGGGTGTCAAACTCACCACCCGGAGAGCAAGTGTCGCGTGCTCTGCCCGCCGAGCCAGCCAGGCGCCCCGAGAGACAGCAGTGTTACAAAACAGGGGTTTGCCTTCAACACCTCATCCTCATCCAGATTGGACGCCCCAAATTCCCACCGCAGCCCACGCAGCGAGGTTGCGGCGCAATCGCTGCAAACTGCTTTCTCGTAAAAATAGAAAGAAAATGTTGGCTGCAGCTGCAGTTAATTTACTTCTGATGAGTCTAACCTTTCCTTCTCGGAGGAAGTTGTTTAGCGGGAGGGGAAAATCGGTCACAATATTGTCTTATGACTGTTTATCTTGTGAGCCCAAGTGATACTGATTGCAAATATTTATGCGCATTTTTAAAAATCTCAGCTAACGTTTGGAATGCTTTTTTTTTTTTTTAAGAAGAGTGAAATCAGATTTCAGGTGGATTTAGCAATTTTGGAGGATTTCAAAGTCGTAACCAAGCTTCCTCTACCGGCCCGCTGGCCCATTAATCGCCTAAATACAGCAATTAGGCAAACATGATCAAAATACAGAATCTTACCATTTTGTTTGGCTTGGGAAGTCTTGTCTTGGTTTTAAATGAACATTATTAATGACTAGTCTAGAAATTGAAGTCGTCCTCTTGGCTTAGGTTACATAAAAAAAAAAAAAAAAAAAAGACCTCCGAATGAGAAAACTTTGCATTTCTCTTAGAAACGCTGCTTTCCTCTTAGAGAAATGATTAGCTAAGGGTCAAAGGCAAAGTTCTAGATGGCACTTTCTCCCGCAACCCTGGGCGGAAAGAGCTACATTGTCGCTTCTAATTCTTCTCCCCAAAGGTAACCGCTTACGGATCTACAGTTAGGTTCCCTGGCCTCTGAAGAAGACACTGGGAAGGGCAAGGGGTTTCATGTCATGGGGATCTCGTTGGCTTTAAGATCCGAGTTTAAATCCCTGTTTTGCTAGTTGCACTATGGCCATAAATAAAGTGATTTAACTTCTCAAACTCTGTATCCTCCTTGATAAAATGGGGAAAGACGATACTCAGTACTCTGTTGGTTGCAAACTCGCTTCATAACAGCAAAGGAGTTTTACAGACGCAAGGAAATGGGAAGGCCAGGGACAGCTTCAGGCCAGGCTGCATCCAGGGGTATCAGTGATGTCATCAGGCACGCACCCTTTCTGTAGCTTCCTCATTTTCCATCTCTGACAATTTGTTTCTCACTGGGCACTGGCCTCTGTTAAGGAGGGGACACTTTTCTTCTACCCTCTTAGTGTCTGTGACTAGAGCCTGTGAATTGAACTGACAAAGGACAGAGTCAGAGGAGATAAAACATACACATTTTATTTGATATTCATATTTTTACATGGCACGAGGGCTTCATAGAAAGAAGCGAAAACCCCCGAGAAGCAGTGAGGGCTGGGAGCTCACAGACCATTTTAACAATGAATAATAAATTGTGCAGAGGTGTGAAGACAAGGGAAAAAGGGGTTTGGGGCAGGAAATTGTTGGGAAAGCTACTAGATGACCGGGTTCCTGTAGTAGGTTGGTTTGTACAGATCCATCTCCGTGTTGATTCCTCGTGTCCGGTGATGAGAATGTTCCCCTCTTCCTAGTACAGGGAGGGCATCTTTCTCACGGGAATTTAGGCCTTGCTCTCGGATAGAAAGGAGGCAGTCAGGGGTGCTGCCTGTATCTGCTCTTTCTCAATTGCCTGCAGCCCGAAGCAATCAATGTGCCAAAGTGGCCTGTTTTGGGGCGGCATGTTCTGATCTGTTTCACCTCCTCCCCCACCATCGTGGGCAGACTTGTCCGCACACGAGGAACATGTCTCTGCGGCGTCTTAGTTTTTACTTCCTTCCAGCACCACGGTGCTCAGAGCAAAGCCACCTTCTCCTTTTCCTTCAGCCCCAAAGGGAGGGATCGAAGAAACGAGGAAACCACGTTGATTGGCTGGCTCCCATTAGAGGCCCTCGGTGGCCTGTGTCCAAGGCACGGAGGGCCACCCCTGGTCAGATACGGGTCCTGGGACTTGGTGTCAGCCTACGCTGATCGGCAGTCCCGTTGTCACCGCTTGGCTACCGTAGGCTGAGAGAGAAGCGTTCTCTCTGCCAGGCAGGGGAGTGTGGGAGATGTTACCTCCAGGACCTGCCCCGCAGCATTGGCTCAAACGGTGCAGATAGGACACCTGCTGTGCTTTCCTGGGGAGCAGGGAGGGAGGGGAGGGAGGGGACAGATTATGGTCATTTCAGAGGGTGAGAGGAGGTAGTAACAAAGGTAACGGACTGGTGGATGCCACAAGACTGGAGGGGGTGGTGGCTGGAGGGTGTTTGGCTGCTGTAGGTACAAGAGACGAGATATAAGCCAGTACGTGACCTGATGTCTGCCTGCGGAGGAGAAAGGGGGAAAGAGTCAACCGCAGGTCCTGGGAAGAAGGGGTTCCCGAGGGAGAAAGAAGGGCAAGGGGCCTTAATGGCCTTGGGCCACTGGGGGCGCAGAAAGAAGTCCTGGGGGCCTCCAGGGAGGAGCGGGGATTGGCGAGGGAGGAGCTAAGCCACCACGTTTCTTTTTGGCCACGCGAGGGAATTCGGAGTCTGCTTTCGGTGTGTGTGACGTGATCTTACCAGTTAAATGGTTGATGGAGCTTGGCCTGTGGGACTGTGTGGCAGAGATTTCTTCGATAGACATTACTCTTATTTTATTTTATTTTTTAACGTTTTTTATTTATTTTTGAGACAGGGAGAGACAGAGCATGAACAGGGGAGGGGCAGAGAGAGGGAGACACAGAATCTGAAGCAGGCTCCAGGCTCTGAGCTCTCAGCACAGAGCCTGACGCGGGGCTCGAACTCACGGACCGCGAGATCATGACCTGGGCCGAAGTCGGCCGCTTAACCGACTGAGCCACCCAGGCACCCCTTATTTATTTTATTTTTGAGAGAGAGAGGGCGCAGGTGAGCGAGGGGCAGAAAGGGAGCGAATCCCAGGAGGGGCAGAGGGAAAGAGAGAGACAGAGGCAGAAAGAGAGAGAGAGACAGACAGAAGCGGGGTTCACCCGAAGCGGGGTTCGAGCTCACCCAATGTGAGACTCGAACTCTCAAGTCTTGAGATCATGACATGAGCCAAAGTCAGATGCTTAATGACAGAGCCATCCAGGTGCCCCTCCCCTTTTTAAAAGTATTTATTTGAGAGAGAGAGAGAGAGAGAGCACAAGTGGGGGCAGGGGCAGAGAGAGACAGAGACAGAGACAGGGACAGAGACAGAGACAGAGAATCCCAAGCAAGCTCTACACAATGACGCGGGGCTCGATCCCATGAACCATGAGATCATGACCTGAACTGAAACCAAGACTCAGAGGCTTAGCCGACGGAGCCCCCCTGGGCACCCTGGCATGATCCCTTTTTGTTAGGGAGTAAGCACTGGGAGTTGGCTTAGCACACAATGGCCACCAGCCATCAGGACCACATTTCTGGAGCCTCAATCCTGGGTTCCGGCCATTGTGATGTAAATGGCAGTGTGGCATGCCTTCCAAGGACTGTCCTTCAAGAGAGGGGCCGCGCCCCTACCTTCCCTTCTTTCTTCCTGCTGGCGAGGACTGGAGTTCGAGCAACAATTGGGCCAAGAGGTGTCAAGTCGTGAGCAGAGGATGGCTGACCAGTTGGACAGGAGAGACCTGGGCTCCCGCTGACCACCACGCTGCTCCAGATTGCTTTCCTCTGGAAAGACCGGAATGAGCCTGTGGAGCTCTCAGCCCTCTATGACTTGGGGATTTCAATTGCTGGCGGCCCCGCCTGATCGTGTCTAATAGAGAGGACGAGAGTGAAAGCGGAAAGACCGGTTTGGAGGGGAGTGTAACACGGGCAAGAGTCGCAGCAGAAACTAGGCATGGTGGCAATGCGAGTGGGGGAGGGGCGGGTTGGAGAACCGTCTTTCTCAGGTAGAACATTTGGAGGCGTTGCTGATAGATGGGATGTGACTGCTGAGGGACAGTGAGGATTCAGTGACCATCCTTTTTTTTTTTTTTTTAATTTTTTTTTTAACGTTTATTTATCTTTGAGACAGAGAGACACAGAGCATGAACGGGGGAAGGGCAGGGAAAGAGGGAGACACAGAATCGGAAGCAGGCTCCAGGCTCTGAGCCGTCAGCCCAGAGCCCGATGCGGGGCTCGAACTCATGGACCGTGAGATCGTGACCCAGGTGAAGTCGGACGCTTAACCGACTGAGCCACCCAGGGGCCCTTTTTTTTTTTTTTTTTTTTT